ACTTCTACTTTCAGATCTTGGTATTAAGTTATTACTAAAACCCATGATAATCGAATGCAGAGGCAATTCTGATAAAGATTAGATACATTTATATAGTCTTACAGGCCCTTTGAGGGCAACCATAATGTTAATGCGGCCCACGAATAAATTGAGTTTGACACCCCTGAGGTCTAGTGGAGTTTGTGTATTGAAACGTTAGGGCGGTTTAAGCGGCAAAAGTGTTGCCTACTCACCTAAAATTAGGTGGGTGACCATAATCTTGTGGCAGATACATTTTTTTTTCTTATGGATGAGGGCCACACAATACTCCACCACTGCAATTCACAGGAATATGGCTCAGTTTACTAATTAACTCCAACCTCTCCCTATGCTGTATAAACACCCCCACCCCCATTATTGGTTGCTGTGATGCAATGCTGGCCATTAAAACTGGGAGCCAAAATTTGCCGGTTAAAGGCAAACATGAATTGTATGAGCATGCTTGATAACTGATAAACTTTGGCAAACTATAACCCAAACATTTACTTTGAGCTTCACCCATCGTTGCTTCAGATACAATTCTAAAGAATAATTGGGACATAATAAATATTAGGATCATAAAGTAGGTATACGGAAGAAAAAAAAAGGCCACAATAAACATCCGTTGTATACTGATGGCTTGGCATAAGCTCTTGCAATATTTACCATTTCTTAGGAATTCTATCAAACCTACAATATAAAAACAGACAACTTGTTGCGAGGACATGCAGAATTCAGGAAAGGCTGAGATAGAATATCGGAGGACTGACACGTAAAGAAGAGTAGGAGGTATCATATATAGCTTTTATGTATTTTCATTTCTCTAACTACATTCAAAAAAGAGATTTTATGTATACCGGCATATGTGAGCCCGTTCCTGGAAAGAGTACGGCTGAGGACAGTGCCTAGAATGCTGAAGAAAGAGGGTATGACAGGGGGCAGTATGTACAGGAGAGGAGTGTGGAGGATATGACAGGGGGCAGTATGTACAGGAGAGGAGTGTGGGGGGTATAACGGGGGGCAGTATGTACAGGAGAGGAGTGTGGAGGGTATGACGGGGGGCAGTATGTACAGGAGAGGAGTGTGGGGGGTATGACAGGGGGGCAGTATGTACAGGAGAGGAGTGTGGAGGGTATGACTGGGGGCAGTATGTACAGGAGAGGAGTGTGGAGGATATGACGGGGGGCAGTATGTACAGGAGAGGAGTGTGGAGGATATGATAGGGGGCAGTATGTACAGGAGAGGAGTGTGGAGGATATGATAGGGGGCAGTATGTACAGGATATACTAACTGCAGCCAAAAGGTTTTTGGACAAATGAGAGAAGGGTTTGGACCTCTGTGAGGTATTATTTATTCTTTGTGTCCCCATTGAGAAAAATGTATCTGTCTTCCCGTCAATCCTGTTACCTGGATAGGATGTTTGGGGATGTCAGTCCTGGTGGGAAACAGCAATAAAAAGAGACTTCAGGAAGCTGAAAGACAGCTTTCCACCCCATGTGACAGCACTGGACCAATCAGTAGCACCACTGTATTAGAGGGAGGAGAGTGAGTCATATACCCGATATGCCTCCCCATACCTGGAAGTGCCGGGTCATTTCTTGCACCAAATGTTGTGGGTGTGACGTAGATCTCTATGATTTTTGCTTGATCTAATATACTAACATTGGCCTGTTGATTGACTAGCCATGGTCATTTGCTGGTCGTATGAGAGGAAGAGGGAATAAGTCACATAATTGTCCCTCATACACGGTAGTACCGGATATTTTCTTTTTTTATTATTATAGTCATACAGGATTTATATAGAGCCAACAGTGTACACAGTGCTTTACAAAATAGAGGGAGACAGTACAATTACAATGCATAGACATGTAAGTGGGTTTAGGGTGTGGCTGCTTCACAGAGGGAATCACACGTAATGGTCTTTTAAACAAGGTAACGTTTATTACCGGAGAGCCGGTAGTATGAAGAATATTTACAATAGTAAAGCAAACGGTTTCACTCCAGGCATGGAGACACAGGTACACAGTACAGTCACTTCAGATGTAAGCGATAGTGATATTCGCTAGCTTTCTCGGCACTTCCCACTGACTGGCACAGTCTAAACCCAAGTACACAATACGTATCTGTAAAGGCTGATAACACTCTACCCGGAAGCAGCGGTATTCGTTCCGTACAGGGAGATAGGAGTCTGGCCCACTCCTAAGCAACTGGGAGTCTTTCATCCGACCCGGATTGCCGCTACAGGACTCCGTAGGAACCCTGAACTATCCCTCACAGGCCGAAACACTGTCCCTGAACTCTCCTAACTCTCCCTCACAAGCAAGATATTTGTCCCTGTCTACTTCCACACGTGTTCTGCCCAAAAACGTGGCTGGGCCTCCTATATAAGATGACCACTCCAAAATGGCCGACCAAATCTCCTGAGAATTCCTGTCCTATCAGGACACCAGGCTTCTCCAAAATGGTGCTGGCTAAACAGTTCTGAACATATTTACACATAAACCTATCAAAATCGGCTGACAGTAGTCATATACACTTATTAACCCACTTTATCCTGCAACCAGCTAGGCTGCCCTGTCAGACATGTGCACCAGCAACAAATTTGTTTAGTTTCGCTTTGATTCGGATTTTGCTTTATTTTGCTTTTCGGAATTCGGGGTCCGAAAGTCAATTCGTTTCAGAATTCGGATTCGGACTAAATTCGTTAGCGGGAAATCCGTCCGAACGTCCGTTTCGTTTACGTTTCGTTTCATTTTCGTTTAGTTCGTTCGTTGCCGCAAAGTGACATTTAAGAGGGGAAAAAAGGTTTTTTTGTTCTCAAATGTCACTTCGCTGCAACAAAATTTCCACAAAAAAAAAGGAATTGGAATTTCGGATTCGTTTGCATTCGTTATCTCTGTAATTCGGATACATCCGAATCCCCGAAATTTCTGAAATTTCGTCCGAATTTCGATTCGGAACGAAGCGAATCGCACATGTCTACAATGCAATCTAATACAGGACAAACAGACAGGAGAGGGAGTAAAAGGAAAGGTGAGTATGTGCTTGTCATGCTAACATGGTACTTTGCCCAACCCGGGAGATGGACGGGTCAGCTATTAGTAATCCCCGGTGAATGCTCTCAATATAGTTTGAGAGATTTATTTTAATGGTCTGTTTATTTTTCAGGATGATGAAGTTGTATTTCCTGCTGCTGGCATTCATCACCGGGGTACTCACCCGCGGAGGTATGTTCTACAGCCTATTATTATGCATCATAAGATGCAAAATAGAGAATCCCAACACTCTGTCCACTTTTACAAGCAAGCAAGGCTTTCAGTTTCTGAGCTCTATGTGACAGTAGCATTGTGTACCAGGTACTCATTCCATTGTCTTCTTTATAGCTATTTCCTCAAAAGGCATGAGAATGCTAGAATTGTGAAGGACCTGTATGGCTGTACATCTGCAGTGTGATTATCCAAGGCACGGATGCTCCTCACTAATAGGTTTAGGAGATTTAGCATGATATACGGTAATGTCACTACTGTGCTGCTCGTTGTCCTCCCTGCTGGAGAGAAAGCTGTGCCCTAGACATGTAAGCTGTGGAAAAATTTGGTTCGGATGTTTCATTATTTCAGGATTCGCGTCCGAAATTCAATTTGGTTTTGGGTTTCGTATTCGGAAGAAATCAAAATTTCATTCGTTTCAGATAGGTTTCCCAACGAATATTCGTTAAGACTACCAGAGAAAACCATATGCAGGTATTAAGACTAAATATGAATACCCTAGACCCAAATGGCATTCAGGATCCGAATTTCCTAATGACATTCAGGAAGCTCCCGAATGCAATTCGGATCCCGAATGCCATTCGGGTCTGGGAGCCATGTACATATATCACTAAACCTGAGGCTCCCAGACCCAAATGGCATTCAGGTGCTCCAGAATGCAATTCGGAAATCCGCATCCCGAATGCCATTCGGGATGCCTCAGCTTTAGTATTATATGTATATACTGTATATGGCTCCCATGTTGCCGTAACAACAATTCTTATTAGACCCATTCGGATGCATTAAACCGAAAAACGCATCTGGCCAGAAAAGTAAATTGCCCGATTCAGCTTAGTTTTTGAACGAAATTCAGACAGGATCTGAAATTCGGAAACATTCTCCAATGGGG